CACCTGAAAACAAGAACAAGTGTGACAGGACAAGAAATTAACGAATTACATCATAACAATCAAGTTTTGCAAAGGTCATATACACACCTAACTGCTCGAGGAAAACACTATTGTATAAAGTCTGTATGGTGTACAAATAAACACGCTCACACGTCATGCACATATTACATCCAAGGTATAACATGTTATTATGGTATCTGATGAAGTCGTTTTCATCAAGTACTGTAATCTGGTTTGTTTCAATTACAAACTGGATTACAGGAGTTCTGAGAAGAATAACATTGTGTTCTCCTAACTAGGTGTGACGCAATTATCTGTACAGGAATTAAAACTAGGGATGCACCGATATGAAAATTTTGGCCGATACCGATAACAGAAAAAATGAGCCGATATGGGCCGATACCGATATGGTGGCCGATATATCGTGCATCCCTAATTAAAACCTCACTGGTCCAAAATCTCATTCCACAAACATGCTCTGATTGGCTGAGATTGTTTCGCGCCATGCAGTGCTTTCACTTTAAAAGGTGGATCATACCTGAGGCACACTGTTCTTGAGATCATAGTGCTTTTCTAGAAATGACAGGAATTTAGGAGAAGGTCTATCGTACGCCATCCGTTCAGGCTCCACCCGTTTGTGCTGCTCAATCAGAGAATATGATCAGGACAGGAAAACATGAGTCACAAAGTACAAACAGGACTGTTTAGCAGCAAATACAAATGGGTCTTTATACTTTTCTACTGGACATAATAAAAAAAGAATAGATTACCCAAAGATGAAAATTCTGTCATAGTTTACGCCCTCTCATGTTGTTCCCAACCTGTGTCACTTTTAAATTTTTATTTTTTTCACCGGAAATCACAAAAATAGATATTTGGTCAAATGTTCATGCTGCTCTTTTCCACACAAGCTTCAAAACAGCATAAACACAGTCCATACAACTAATGCGCTATATTCTATGTGTATGACAGCTTTGTCTGAGAAATACACCAAAATATATACGATATTCGCGTTTTAAATTTAAGTTATTCAATAGAAATCTGAATAAAATGCAAGTATTTTAACAAAAATTTTACTGCATAAAACGTAGTTTAACTTCTGCAAATTCAACCTTGCCGTGTAGCATTCAGCAAGGTTGAAACGCATAAAACCAATGCTGTTTAGCATTGTTAACGTCAAATCTGGTCTTATAGGGACAAGTCTGAATATGTGCACTTGCAAATAAGTTTTAAAAGCTACGATGAAGGGGGAAATGATTTGGGAATAAAGAATTACATTTCAGTTTGTCCTTCAGACTTGGAATAAAGTGAATGAATTATATTGACCTTGTCCTTTTGTTGTACAGAAAAGAGCAGCATGAACATTCTTTGAAACATCTCCTTTTGCGTTCCATGCACGCAAGAAAGTCACATGGTTTGGACTAAAATGAGGGTAAATAAATGACAGGATTTTCCTGCAAACTAAATCAGGCTGCCGACAGACACTCACTTTCAGCATGAAGTCAAAGAGCTCGAGCCCATAGCCATGTCTCTGCAGTGTCTCAGCCACATAGAAATCCAGCACACATAAAGGCTCGGTTTCCAAATGCGCCCCCCGTTGGTCCTGGATGCAATTACAACATACTGTAAATCACTAATGTATCAAGTTTAAAAAGACTGAATTTACCAACTCAATAAAGAGCAAACACTTACAAGTAAAAACAGCTTCTTGTAGCCAACCTTCAGAAATCCAACCATAACACCCCTCCCGCTGGTAAAGCAAAAGACAGGAAGAGGGAGTCAAAGACTGTTATTAACAGCAGATGAGGATGTGTTTATATGTAATGGAAATGGAAAAACAGGAAGGAGAGAGGTCAGCTGTATTGACATGTAAATAGATTAAATAGGCTGGGGGAGGGATAGAGAAAGCGAGAGAACCCGTTCTGTTCTCCATCTTTCAGGAGGTAGAGATGGTGTCTGTTGGCCTGGAGCTTTGCAGCACTGGTTATAGGAGCAGGCAGCTGCTGGGCCTGAGGAGATACACACACACATGACATGATGACAGGCTGAAACTGACAGTGAATGACATCTGCAAGCTCAAAAAGACAGTCATTATCACCTTAGAGGAGGCTTTACCCAGCTCATCTATAACTGTGCTGATCTGAAGAAGAGGATCTGGTCTGGACAACAAAAAGCAGGTATGTTAGGAATCTCACACACAGAAATTAGCATTTATGAGTCCAGTTATGCAAGTCATAATGGATGCATACACCTTTACAAAGCATAACTGTTTTGAATTACAAGTTTGAATCATATATAGCTGTGCTATACATTTTAACAAGTTTTTCAATAGCTGGCACTGATATCAAGGTGGTCAATGGCTGATATCATGAAATATATACATATAAACCCCATGAGATCTTTGATTCTTTCTTTCTGTGTTAACATATTTCATATCAAAACATTTGGGTGGGGCATATCAAATGGCTTGTCCTATTTTTCTAAACAGCCATGAGGCTGCCATTATATCATTATATCAGAATTGTGAATCATGATTGGTTCCAAGGGTAGATAGAGCAATGGTTCTCCACTAGGGGGCATCTCCCGGGGGGCCCCAGTAAGTAGTTATGTTAATATAATCTTTATTAAAATGTTAAAACACACACACACACAAATAAAAAAATAGGTACAACATTAAATTGACACATTCACATTTTTTAAATTTGATTTAGTTTATACATGAGGTATCCGCTTAGATACGAGGGCCTTTGAATATTGTCTTGAACAAAAGTGAGCCTTCGAGTCCAAAAGGTTGGGAAACACTGTGCTAAAGACCATCTGACTGAATTAGAATAAATATTTTCAACTTTAAATGTGTACATCTGCTGCAGTGAATTTAGTCAATGTTTAGCAACAAATTAGCATATATAACCTTATAGTTAAAAACCAAGTGTGGCATGTTGAACACTTCATGCACTCAACTGTCGCAGCTTTAATTACACTGGGGCTGGGGGTGGGCTATCAGACTCCGATTATGAATGACAAAATAACCTTATAAAATTAATTCACTACATGGCTGAGTGCACAGTGCATAGTGTATAAGTGCATAGTGTGCCATTTGGGACGCAGTTAAAGACTAAAATAGGCTGGTTATATAAAAATCTTTTTGGTGAATTTTAAAATTCATTTAAAATCGTTGTATTTTTTTGTAATGTATGATGCAACATACAACAACGTTGGTTATGTATGCTAAAGAATCCCCACAAATTCCTTCATGCTAATAATGGCTTTTTCTAGCATTGCTCTGAAAATATGGCATTCATGACCTGCTTCCCTTAGAAATGTTCCTGCTTTCAGAAACTGCTTAAACACATCTTTTCAGTAAAGTTTTAAACCATTATTGTTATTTATATATCATTTATTATTTGATTGTATTTGTAATGCATCGTAGCACTTCAAGTACAAGAAAAGTACATTACAAATAAAATGTATTCTTACAATATTTTATTGTATTCGTTTTAGAAAAAGTATTTATATTAAATTAAAAAATACACGCTTATCCATTAAAAACGTATCTATTAGAAAAGCCTATATTATAATATATCTATCTATCTCTCTCTCTCTCTCTATATCTATCTCTCTCTGTCTATATATCTATCTCTCTATCCATTGCATGGTGGGATTTCTTATAGTTTAATCACAGTACATTCTGTTGCTGTTTTACTGAATCAACACGGTTCAGATTAAACTCATGGCAGATTAGTTTTTTTAATCAGGGCCGCATTTGCATCCTCTGAAGACAATAGGCTTATCATTATAGGAAAAAGATGACAAAGATGACCTGGACCAAATGCCACATTTAGCCTAATAAAAGAACATCCTAACCCCCCACTGGTAGCAGTATATGCACAATGCACAACTGTGTCAACCACTGTTACAAGACAAAAGCAGTGCATGCTGCACACAGATCACACCCATCTCTCCCAGCAGCACACATTAAAGCATACATTACCTCCCATGCGCTTTCCGACCTGCACTCAAGCTGTTATCCAGCACAGTGATTCTCTCGGGGAAAAGCGCGTGCAGGTCGAAAGGGAAATCCATTGTAAGGACAGAGCTGAAATCTTAAGACAATACACTACTAATGCCCTTCTGCAGATTCAGATGCATTTATCACAGCGCCAGTCGAGTCACTGCACCACCGGCCTGCACTTAAAATACCAGTTCCACATTAGAGCCGCTTCAGTAGCGGGCTGGTTTAAGAGCAGAGATGTATAGCGGCGTTATCAGAGCTTCTTCTGTCCTCCCATTGTGTTTGGGTCACTCCCTTCCCTTCCCTTCCCTTCCTTACACCGCACGCATTCCTGCAAATGTTTGATAGTTTCTTGTTACAGCTCTAAAAATGTAAACAAAAAAATCTTTAGACAGTGGCAGAAATCTGCGGCTTCAGAAGACTTATTTCCGTTTCCTCTTGGCAACGACGCACAACTTTGTGCTGCATAGCAACCAAATATAGCTAGCAGATATGTAACCATATCAATACAGCAATATTTAAACACTTATATATATATATATGTTTCGTATTTTTTATATTTGTTTTCCTCCTGCAACCTTTCTTTAACAGCGTTTAAGTTGAACGCTTAATGATTTATTTTTCAACAATAACATTTCCAGCTACTGCGTGCTGTATGACTGTGCTTTTTTATATATATTACGTTAATTAATAAACAGTTATTAGTTAAATTAGTATACTTAACGTAAATATTTCTGAGGCGTGATAATTGTTTTTTTTTAACAATACAAATATCCCATCTCCCAGTTCAAATGAAGTCATAAAAACGGCATGCATATTTGTATGTTTTATAAACGCATATTTTATAAATAAAGTGTAAAGAAGAAAAATAAGGGAAAAAATGTTGAATGCAATATCTGCACAAAAACAAGCTTGGATTTTCATTCAGGCAGATATTTCGCTACCCTGCCTGCAGCATTAGGACCCTGTTAAATACCCTTGCCTGCACGCTGCGCGATCCTTTCCGTTCTGAGGACGCTGCAGTGCCTCAGGTAGCTGTGAATGCTCTGTGCTGTATTTGTTACATCTCAATTATATTATGTACGCTAAAACACAGTTTAGTGTTTTATATTTATATTTGCTTAAAACGCCGATGTGGCTTGTCGTTAACGCTAATTCAAGACCTGCAAAGTGACACCGCAGCGCTTCTGGCCTCGCCTTTAGTCAGAGAGCAACATGTTTAATCCAGTGCGACTTGATGCTATTGCGTTAATCGTGTTGCAGATCATATCTACTTGAACTGAACAATGATGTGCTGAAGTTGCAGCAGTTTCCCAGTAAGTATGAGACCACAGCGGGTTTATTTTCCTTCAGAAACGGGTCTGGGGACCCTCAGGCCGCAAAAACAGGAAAATAAGCTTATGAATGTCGGTGGAAAGTAAATAAAATCATCTAAAATGTAGTAAATGCGTTCAATTAAAATAATAAATTAAAATTGATTTAAATAATTGCTTTTACAGTACTATAGTAGTGAGTAAAACAAAAGAAATGTTGCAAGATATTTCCCATTTCTGATAATTTCCTCAGTATAAATAGTTTTTACATATAAATATATAGCTGCCTTTTAAACTTTAGGATGGTAGTCCCTCTGAACCCATTTGTGGTTCTGTGACACTTAAAGATTGAAAACCCCTGTTGTCCGTTATTGTGTGTGATGATGAATCATTAGACTAGAGTCTCTGATTTACTCGTGAAGATCTTCACAGTGCACTGAACACATGCTCTACAGCTTATGACTGGTTTGCAGTGGCTTGGATGTCTCTAAATGTTCATTTCCACAGATTTGGTGGGAGGAACGGACGTTGCCAGGTATCTGATGTCAACCACTTACAACCAATAGGTAAGAGCTAGTTTATGCTGCGGAAACCTTGAACAATTGCTTTTCAAAGGAGGCATTTTGTCTGTCTATTGCGTGTGATGATGAATCATTAGACTAGAGTCTCTGATTTACTCGTGAAGATCTTCACAGTGCACTGAACACATGCTTTACAGCAGGGGTGCCCAAACTCGGTCCTGGAGGGCCGGTGTCCTGCAGAGTTTAGCTCCAACTTGCCTCAACACACCTGCCTGGAAGTTTCTAGTATGCCTATAAGAGCTTGATTAGCTGGTTCAGGTGTTTAATGAGGGTTGGAGCTAAACTCCGCAGGACACCGGCCCTCCAGGACCGAGTTTGGGCACCCCTGATCTACAGCTTATGATGGAGTAGAAGGGACTTAGGCTTTTTCTAAATGTTAATAACTACTTTATTTTTTATGTTTTTACACCGATCAGGTGGGCGGAACAAACTTTGCCAGGTATCCGATGTCAACCGCTTACAACCAATAGGTAAGAACTAGTTTATGCTGCGGAAACCTTGAACAATTGCTTTTCAAAGGAGGCATTTTGTCTGTCTATTATTGCGTGTGATGATGAATCATTAGACTAGAGTCTCTGATTTACTCGTGAAGATCTTCACAGTTCACTGAACACATGCTCTACAGCTTATGACTGGTTTGCAGTGGCTTGGATGTCTCTAAATGTCTAATTATCTTTTAACCTTTAGGTTGGATTCCAGCAGAATGGTTGATCGCTACAGTTGATGACTACTGGGTAAGAAGTAGTTTCTTTTTCTTTGGTCTTTGCAAGTGTGGCCCATGTACAATCTCTAACAAAGTGTTTATTTTCAAGGTTTTCAGCAAAGGGTTTGAAGCCAATATGGACGTTGTCTCTAGCCCATGAAGCTACGTAAGGTTGGTGTCCTAACAGCATTTCAGATGTTTTATCAGTGATGTGCAGTGAGGATTCAACAGACTAGAGTTTCTGATGACAACATGAAGTTCTTCACATTACTGAGCACAGCTTTTGATTATTATAATCTATTTTGTTACGAAGAACGTCTAGATGACATTGGATTTTAATTTTTTTAGGTTGACGTGATGCCAGAATTATGTGCCAATGATGGGCGTATTCCTTTGAATGCACAGACCTGTCACTCTGTAAGTACAGGTCATGTAAATTTAACTTGGGTTATAATTGGGTGTTAATGATGAATGCGTTGTTCGGTTCCACTGAAACTCAATGAAGTAACTTTCTCGCGGCGCACTGAAACACAGACAGACAACAAATACACTTATTTTCCCCATTTGTAATCTAATACACCTGTTTTCTTTTAAGGACGGAGGTTTATGCTGTGGCAGAAGAGTTGTGGTGACCGGTTTGGAGCACGATGTTGAACCGTCCAGCTTTGTAGTATTGTGTATCATAACTTAAACACTTGTTTCACTGTCATTGTATATCATTCCCAGAACCGTTTGAGAAAGTAACTGCTTGTTTTTGACTTCGCAGTTCTTTGTATACTATTAAATTGACTACTTTTACGTTGAATAAAAGTCACCGTTTATAGCTCAATATGAAGTTGCTGATTTTATGGAAGTAGCAGGTCCACCTTGAAGGTTTATGCCTTAATCTTATGCATGTTGTAGGATACTGTCAAACATAAGTGCAAATGCTATCTTAACTATTAAAAAAACATATATGTTTGGTTTTTTTTGGAGATTAAGAATCAGTTTGTGTAGGCTTTTTTTGTGCTTTATGTATGGTCTACCGTCACGAAATATTAGTGTACAATGCATCACAAGTAGATCAGGTTTTCTGCTGTTAGCAAAGGCGAAGGACTTTTATTATGGAAACCGGTCCCCTCAGTTACTGGGTGGCTGTTATCATATTTGACTTCACTGTACTTGACTGTTTACTTAGTTTAGCTACATATTTATTTATTTATTTTGTTTGCTACTAGCCTACCTGTTTTGTAGCATATAAAGAACCACATTTTGGAAATCAACAGCCTTTCGTGGTTTCCACGGAGGGTCACACATCTCCAGAGCGAAGGTCATTGGGTCAGCGGTGTAACCGGTTCGGTTCTGCGTAGCGACGCCCGAGTTGTGACCGAATCGTTCTTTTGAGTCGGATCTTTTCAGTCGATCTCAGCTCCAGCTCCGGCAACAGACCGTTTAGCGCGTTTCTCTTACTAAAAGTAAAAGCTGTAGTTAGCATACTTCGCCTACTATTTAAAAGCTTTCAGGCTAAACCTGATATCGTAAGCTTAGTGACTCGTTGGCTTGTTCTTCTCTTGTCGCTTTGAATAAAAGCGTCTAAATATAAATGTAATACAAGTAATGGTATGCTATTCCAGCCAAGCACTTTTATACACGTATGATTCGCAACGAAATACTTGTAAAGAACAGCAATATGTGGTTTTCTTAAAAGAAACGCCGCGCCGGGATGTCGCGAATCATAACGTAAAAGATTCACTGAGTTGATTGGTTGAACCGGTTTTCATATGAACCGTTTGAAAGAACCGATTCGCGGAAATGAGCCGATCTTCCCTTTGCTGGACACGTAAACCAGCTCGTACTCTGCTCGACGACAGTGTTGCTGCGTGAGGTTATCTCCGTCGAAACTCCTGGAGTCTGTTGGACTTGGACTGTATTTTCGCCCTGTGTCGAGCGGTTTATGTGCTGGTCCGGTTTAAGTTAAAGCATGTTTGTGCCGGGCGCAAATGAACAGGAATGTGAGGCTGGCTTCGATAAGTGAACTCGAATGTTTTTGCAACTGAAGCATAGAGACTGATGTCTGGAAGATTAACTGCATGTCCTTACTGCAGTCACATAAACTAGAGATTTGAGGTCGCAGGTATGTTTGATGATCCGGTCGCTAGTGTTTCGACAAAGACACAGTTTAGCGTTTAAAGTTGTGGAGTCGCTCGGCTAGTTCAGACATGCTAACCGACGCCGTTTCGCCTGAAGAAAATGCTTTTAGAGCTCCAAAATAAACGAAACCCCAATGCCGCAATATTTTTAGTTGTCGTTTGTCATTTTTAATTAAAAGTTACGTTATCTTTCTGTCGTTGAGTGATTTGCACGGGTGTGGCCGAAGGTTGTTTTCTGGTTGATTAGCTCCAATACAAACACGCCTTAATACAGGTCTGTTGAGGTGTCATTGTTTAGATGCCTTCTTATACTTGTGGCAGTGTAAAACTTTATATGTCGTCTTAAGCGACACTCAACGTTGTTTTTTGACTCTTTAATAGCTATACAATTAGATTATGAGCTGTCTGTGCTTATTATTGCTTTATACTATAGTTATTAATGTGTAATTATCAATTATATTAGCTTTCCCCCACACACTGGCACTTTATTAATGTTATAGCGTTTTAATTTTCTCCTTTGTGCATTATACAGTAATAGTGCTGACATGACCGCAGTTGTAGGGCGAGTTTGGGGGTGGGTCAGTCCAGTGAATCTGTACTCCTCCTGGGGCAATAAGACCAAACCTGAGGAAGCCCCAACAACGGAGATTCAGACCAGAAGCAGATGGGGCTTATGGGGACTTACTGCCTGGGTTTGGAGGGGCGAGAACACCAAAAAGGACCAAAAGACAAACACTGAGGAATTCTGGGAGACCGAAGAGACTATCAAGCCTTTGGATGTTGAAGAGCTGAGGGCTGATGTTGAGACTGAGAGCGCAGCGGCCCAAAGCTCCTCACGCTGGTGGAGCCGAATGCTTCCATCCAGATACTTTTTCTGGCCTCGGTGGTCGTCGTCCACCGCGCTCCGCCAGCGGAAATGTGCCGGGTGGAGTGAAGGTACGTGGGACAGCGATGAAGTCGATGGGCAATCAGACTATGGGACGCCTCCGCCGTCCCCCACGCCACAGAAATCTGCATTCCAGTTCTTCTCTCGCTCGTGGACGGGGGAAATTGTGCCTGAGCACTACGATATTTGCTTTAATTTCCTCCGCCACCTCTTTGACTTGTTCGTGGTGGGCTTCCTGACCACCGTATCCCCTCCGACCAAATTCATTTTGGATGTGCTGGGGGTGCAGGGGGCCCTGAAGCTGTGGCTCCATGGGATGGCCATGTTTCTGGTGTCGTCTGTTGGGATGGCCGGACTGCTGTGGGTGGTTCAGGAGCACCTGCTGCCGTTTGCGTTGATCTACGGTATCGTGCAAGCGCTGGTCATCTCTGTCAGTGTATGCCAGAGTGAAGCTTCGGCAGAGGGGGATGATGGGAAAGTTGACGGAGAAGTCAAAGAGAGCGAGGTGGAACAGGACAACATATGGGAGCAGAATGAGCCACAGCAGACAGCTGACGAAAGCAAGAAGGGAGTTAAACAAAGGAGCTGAAGTCCTGGGAAAAGTGTATTTTTGGTAAGTAGCTGTTTCTGCCCACAGAACCTGTTTTCTTGTTTTGTTTGTGCTGGTGTCACAAGATAAAGACTTTCATTGTAGAAATCCATCCAACCCATATAGCGATGCACCAAAATGAATTTTTAACCGAAACTGAAACTAACGTTTTTATTTAGCTGAAAACTGAAACTGGAAGTACTTAATACTGTTTGAACTTAATTATTAAATTGACTACATTTAAAACCTCAGACTTTGTTTTATATCAAAAGTTACTAAGCACAAAGTTTGTGATTTATTATAATTTTGTCCTTTTTTTTAATTATTAAAAATTAGCCTCCTGCAGGTCATTTGCAAACCCCAGTTTAGGAAACACTGCTCTAAATGTTCAGATGTGCTATTTTCATCCCATTTACTTGCACCATTGCAGCCACATAGCAATATTCTAAAACCCACTGACACTTAAGAAGTTTCTTAGCAGCCACCCACAACACCATGGAGTTTTGCGCTCATACTTTTTTACAGAATATTCAGGTATGGGTTACCATTTGATTTTTGAAAGGCCATTCCTCTGGTTCATGCTGTTTTTTTTGTTTTTGTTTTTTTACAATCATCCTAACCTTTGCTGTGGGGCCAAATCTTTCACCCAGAGAAAAACAAGTGTTACATTTTCAGAGAGCTGTGAAACCTGCTTGCGGTTTTGCGGATCTCTGTTTCTCTGGGATGCATTTTCAGATATTGCCCTCCTCCCCCAGAGTGACTGTTTATGGTGGTGTCAGTGATATATTGCCATTGCCTAAATGCAACTTTTTTTTTTTTTTGTACATGTGTATGTTTTGCCCTCTTTGTCTTAAAAGGGGGTAGTTCATCCAAAAATGAAAATGGTGTCAATTTAATCACTTTCCTATTGCTTCAGACATTCTTTCAAAGCCTTTACCTTTGAGTTCCACACAAAACGAGAAACTATGAAACCTGTGCTGCCTTTTTCTTCCTTGGAATTGCAATGAATGTGGATGCAAAAGCACATTAAAACAAGCATCATAAAGATAGTCCATACAACTCATTAGCTATATTGCAAGGATTCTGAAGCAGGGCTGGGGTATATGACCAAAAATATTACCACAATACCTTTTGCCATGTCATACGATATCAATATTTACAGTGGGGGAAATATGTATTTGATCCCCTGCTGATTTTGTAAGTTTGCCCACTTACAAAGAAATTAAGGCTCTGTCATTTTTATGGTAGGTTCATTTTAACGTATAGAGACAATACCAAAAAAATCCAGGAAAAAAAACATTATATAAAGGTTAGAAATTGATTTGCATTTCAGTGAGTGAACTAAGTATGTGATCTCCAAGCAAAACATGACTTAGTACTTGGTGCAGAAACCCTTGTTGGCAAGTACAGAGGTAAGATGTTTTTTGTAGTTGGTCACCAGGTTTGCACACCTCAGGAGGATTTTGATCCACACCTCTTTACAGATCCTCTCTAAATCCTTAAGGTTTCTTGGCTGTCGTTTGGCAACTCGAAGTTTCAGCTCCCTCCACAGATTTTCTATAGGATTGAGGTCTGGAGACTGGCTAGGCCACTCCATCACCTTAATGTGCTTCTTCTTGAGCCACTACTTTGTTGCCTTGGCGGTAGGTTTCGGGTCATTTGATTTGCATTTCAGTGAGTGAACTAAGTATGTGATCTCCAAGCAAAACATGACTTAGTACTTGGTGCAGAAACCCTTGTTGGCAAGTACAGAGGTAAGATGTTTTTTGTAGTTGGTCACCAGGTTTGCACACCTCAGGAGGATTTTGATCCACACCTCTTTACAGATCCTCTCTAAATCCTTAAGGTTTCTTGGCTGTCGTTTGGCAACTCGAAGTTTCAGCTCCCTCCACAGATTTTCTATAGGATTGAGGTCTGGAGACTGGCTAGGCCACTCCATCACCTTAATGTGCTTCTTCTTGAGCCACTACTTTGTTGCCTTGGCGGTAGGTTTCGGGTCATTGTCATGCTGGAAGACCCATCCATGACCCATCTTCAGTGTTCTGGCTGAGGGAAGACATACACGTGCCGCCTTGAGCAGGGGGACCTTGCGGCCGCTGCAGGATTTCAGTCCATTGTGCAGTGTGTTACCAATGGTTTGCTTGGTGACTGTGCTCCCAACTGCATTAAGATCATTAACAAGCTCCTCCCGTGTAGCTCAGGGCTGATCCCTCACCTTTCTCATGATCATCCTTACCCCATGAGGCAAGATCTTGCACGGAGGAGATGGTTGTTTTGTATTTCTTCCTTTTCCGAATAATCGCACCAACAGTTGTCTCCTCCTCACCAAGCTTCTTGCTGATGGTCTTGTAGCCCATTCAAGCCTTGTGCAGATCTAAAATCTTGTCTCTGACATCCTTTGACAGCTCTTTGGTCTTGCCCATGGTGGTGGGAGAGGTTGGAATGGAAGATACAGATTGTGTGGACAGGTGTCTTATACACCTAACAAGCTGACATTAGGAGTAACTTCTTAAAGTGGCAGGACTAATCTGTGTTCCAGATGGGCACATAAGCAATCTGAGGGAGCCAGAATTCTTGCTGGTTGGTAGGGGATTAAATACTTAATTCACTCACTGAAATGCAAATCAATTTCTAATGTTTTATATATTGTGTTTTTCTGGATTTTTTTTGGTTGATATTCTGTCTCTATACGTCTAAAATAAACCTACCATAACAATTACACACCCTTCATTTCTTTGTAAGTGGGCAAACTTATAAAATCAGCAGGGGATCAAATAAACATCTCCCCCACTGTATACTGATATTTACTATTAATGGGGAAGAAAATGCTTTTCACATTTTTGTCAGACCTTGGAAATGAATGTAAATATAACTTGGTTTGTTCACAATTAAACTCCACAGAGTAGAGCTACCTTTTAATTTAGGGCCTCACAAAATCAATTTAGTTTTTTCATAAATTCTGTTTGGTTTCCATTTAATTTTTCTGGTTTCTGTGTTTTATGAGTCAATACAAGTTGGATCATGAAGTGTCAAATTAATAAAACTTTAATGATTTAATCAATCTTTTAAAATGCAAACAAATAAACAATACAGCAATTCATTTACAACAAAACATTGCATTTTAATTCGTCAAAAAAGCTGCACAACAGAACTGTATAATTAAATGAAAAAAAAAATTTGGTTTAATTATATTCCTTAAACCTATTACTATTATCAATTTGAGAATTGCATTTTAGTATACAGCAGTGATCTATTTCTATTATAATTTAGTAGTAATATAATTCTGTTAGAAGTTAGGCTGAACTTTTATTGTAGTGGTTTGTCATGAAGATCTTTGAGTGTCTAGTGCCCCCCAAAAAAGAGGAGAACACACAAATATCTGGCTTTCTCATATTGCAATGATGAACAATTTCTCTGCTTCTGTCACAGGTTGTTGACATGCTGATAGTCCAGTACCAGAATCTTTCATTGAGGATTTAACCACTTCAACACCGACCACCAACAACTCCCCATGAGCAATGGACGAGCACCCTAAATGTGCCAGCACCTCTTTCTCTCCACCAGTGGAAATTTTTTGCTCACTTTAAAATATACTTTTAATTTTCCCAAAAACGATTTTGACATAGCACACCAGCAGGAGAAGTGGCCAAGTAAAACACTAGAATCTGCAGCCACCGCGATAAAACAACCATGTTGAACCATGTACAGAACTGAGGAACCAGCAGTGATTGATTGTCAGGGAATTTCACTGAAATACTGTGTGATCCTGAAAGCTGAACCAGTTTTTACTTTTACCTTTATATTGTGATTTAACAGCTTTGCGACTTCACGCTGCGTGTACTGCACATCTGCATGCGTCACTTTATTCATAGCTCAATGTGGCCTCTAACAGTGTCTCTGGATTGTTCATATCTGCAATGTGTCCGCTTCCGTTTAATGGGTTGAGTCGCCCATCCTTAATTCGGTCCATTAGTCCAGTCACAGGCTAGCTTGGTGTACTTTTTGAGTGCAATTATAGAGGAACTGAATGCAAATGATTTTTAAACTACCTTTTGCATTCAGCAAACCTGATGTTGTTCCGTACTTATTTTATTTTCATTCATTGAACCCATTTATAAAAATCTGACTTCCTTATGTTTTGAGTTACGTCATTAAAACCACTCTGTGTTTGACGTATATTTATGTACGCTTCGTTACAGCATTAACTGCATGTCTTGATTAATTTCAAATGTGTTGTCAGTCTTACTTCATTTCTATTTCAGTTGATTATATCTGTTATGCCTCACAGTATCTGGTACTTCGGCCAGTTCACAGGGAATTATGGGTAAAGAAATTAGAAGTAATTTTGCACAATTGCGTACCGACAGCTTAATATCCAATGCTTTGTTGCACAAACGTGTCTCTCGCTTGCAAGAATAGCTTTCTCTTCCTGAATGTGTTCCACAGATAGCGTTTTATCTATGCATGATACTATAGAACAATGACACATTTGTGAGTGACTTTTCCTTTGTGGTACTGGTTTATAAATTTCTAAGTTGTTCATGTCAGTTATTTAACCATTAATATGTAGCGCTAGAATTGTTGGTTTACTACAACCTTGAGCAATGCAAGAATACGTGTAACCTCTGAAGGTTCTTTAAAATGTGTTTTTCCATGACCATAGAAGTGCGGGCCACTGCTGAAACCACACAGCTGTGAATAGAAATGTCTGCTGTAGAGTGAAATGCATTGCAGCTCAAGGATGGATGTACCTAGGGTGTGAGATCTACATCTACAGTTCTTAAGTGCTGCACATGGAGTCTTTAATAGTCCTAACAGCAAAAATAAACTTTCTTTTCCCATATGTCATGTCTGGAGTATGCTTATAGTAGGGCACATGTGGACTCAGATTTGATCTGTTATGGATCAGTCTGTCCCAAGTAGTCCAAAAATTGACACTTTATTTTATTTTGTTTAACCACCGCAGCCATCTTTGTGTCATGGCACTATGAATTTTAATTGTACAGATGTTTACCGAAAACTCTATTATCTCGAGACTAACTAAAATTTGCTGTTACGACAGATAGCCATTGTGGTTATTAGGAAAATTAAAAATGGTTGTGCAACCTCCAAAGATGCATTTTATATATCAAGGATCTGGGTTTCATGCTTTCTGACCAATGAACGATCTTCCAGTTGTTAATATTTGTTTTATATATATAAATATATAATAGTATATTTTAGAGCAGAGCAGATAGAGATTTCACTATAGAAATTTCCATTATGTTTTAATATTTTATTCATTTCATAATTTTTTACAGGCCTGGATATGATCGCAACAATTAAGCGTCTTTACATTTCTAATAGTATTATGTTTACTGTGTGAAAGAGAGGAGGGATGAGATCAGGATGTGACACTAGCCAGATTTGAATTCACATCATCCAAAAGAGTACCTTAGTTCACATGCATCAACCACTAAGCTTCTGAGCTCCATTAATACATCAACTGAGTCATTATATAAATGTACATTTCATAAGGACTCAACAGAATCAGGATGAGAGTCAAACACAATTAGGTTGCCATTAAGCATTTAATAGATATAAACAACATAATTTAACATCTGTTTATTCATGTTAAGTCCACTCTATGACCTTTGCTATGTACATACAGGTGCATTCACAGTAAAGGGACGACAGATGCATGTGAATGCTGGGATGCAGATGACTGCAGTGACGGTCCTGATGGGATCAACTATAAACTGTACGTGACATCAGTGGAGAGATGATGCTCTGTGCATTTGGTCTTGGCCAGCATTCAGCCATACACTCTCCTGCGCTCTTTATACCACATAAAATCCATTTACACCTTAAAGCTCGAGTCAAACTACTACACACCATCCTGACGGCATATGCACTCTCCCAATTTCAGATGGATTTCATACCAATTTCTGCCAAATAAAAGCAGCCATAGTGCCTAGGACGAGATGAGGCACCTTACATGTCACAGGGTGATCTATATCACACACACAAAACATATTCCCTGTATTTTGTATAAGGCATGAGAATGAAAGGAAAAGACACCAAATCTACACATTTTCAGATCAATCCTACTGTTTAAAATAATAGTTCACCCAGAAATGAGCATTTGCTGAAACTTTACTCATCCTCAGGCCATCCAAGTATTAGATGAGTTTGTTTCTTCATAGGAAATGTAGCATTACATCACTTGAATGGATCCTCTGCGGTGAATGGGTGCCGTCAGAATGAGAGTTCAAACAGCTGATAAAAACACAACAATAATCCACACCACTCCAGTCCATCAGTGAACATCTTGTGAAGTGAAAAGCTGTACATTTCGAAGAAACAAATCCATCATTAGTCAGTGTTTTACCTTTAAACTGTCACTTCTGGCCAAAATACTAGTCTATAATCAATAAAATCTCCATCAAAATTCACCAACATATTCATTTATAACATTAAATGTTTTTGCCTGTAAACTGTGCTTGATCTGTGCATATTTCTCTCCTGATTCAGACAAGATGACTTTCACTGGAGAAAGCAACATTATGGATTATGGCCTCGTATTTTAGCCATTAGCAGTGGTTTGACGTAAAAAAAAAAAGTCTTGATGGATTTGTTTAGTACAAACACTTCACTAGACGTTAATTGATAGTCTGGAGCCGTGTGGGTTACTTGTGGATTATTGTGATGTTTTTATCAGCTGTTTGGACTCTCACTCTGACGGCACCCATTCACTGCAGAAGATACACTGGTGAGCAAGTGATGTAATACTAAATTTTTTCAAATCTGTTCCTACGAATAAACAAATTCATTAACATCTTGATGGCCGGAGTACATTTTCAGCAAATATTCATATTTGGTTGAACTATTTCTTTAATTTCATAGCTGCGGTTTAATTTCGGTAAAGATCCAGGTGGCGTTCTCAATTCGCATTAGGAATGAAGTACAGCATCACAGATTTTTCTCAGTCCACTTCAAGTTATAAACACATCGATGTCTTTGCACGTACATGCCGAGTCTCTGACTAGTCTGATTGTCTGAGGGGAGTCTCGCTACAACTCAATCAAACATTGACGGCTGATGGAGATGATTTATATTTTCCCTTGTGAAAATATCCAAAGGGTTGAGTTCCTGAAACCTGCCATGTTTTAAATTCACTATAGCACACAACACATACTACGCTTGAAGTTCCTCAAGTGATATGAAGAAATACTGCTGCTAGAATTGTGACACCGCAAGGCAAATTATATTTGATAGAAAATTCATTTTTTTATACTGCATTTAGTCCTTTTAAATCCGTTTGATATGAACTAGAAGCTATAACCCTGCTGAATCATATTTGAAGGTTTAAATCCATTAAAATGTTGCTTGTGGACACAAAACTGGTAAGATCAAGTGGTTAAACGCAAACAAATAAATATCGATTTTACAAAAGGAATAAAAACCAATGTCCTATGTACAACAAATATCAATTTTCCACAGCATTCAGATCGCAAAAAAGGTTTAGTCTTCTTTGAGTCATTAAACAAATGACTGAGGAGAAAACTAAATCACATTGCATTGCTCTACAAGCTTTCATTCATCAAAAAGCTTTTGACACCCAGTGATGGTGTGATGTAATCAGATGTGAGTGAGGATGAGGGATTATGAATGTAGTGCCCACGTCGTCCGTTACCCTTCCCTCCAAACCGACTCTCCCACTCGCCTCAACTTCTAGTGAGGGTTCTTTCCCCCAGAGCTAGGGGGCGCTGTGCCCCCTCCACCCTCCCTCTGTCCATGGCCTCTTCTCCCGTGTCCCAGAATGCAGTGCGCGCTTCCGCAGCCTTCCTCGTCATCCCCCTCGCTTTCCGAGGAAGACTCGCCGAACTGTCGAGGCTTCTCATAAACACAGCAACCTGAACATATCAAAGCCATTGTAGAAGAACGTGAAAAACAAATAAGCTGAGGACGTTCTATTTCAAGCAACAAAGCATTCAATAGGCCGCTTTGAGCAGATGCAGGTCATTTAAACCTGATTTTCAAGGTCAGCTATTTAAAATCTGGCCCAGATCTGCCTGTCCTACACTATTTTCAAGTATGAAACCGATTCTCGTTTTATACACATTAAATGACGATCCATAATGGATTCAGATCAAGACTTCACATAAAGTCAAAACAAGCCTCACACTTTGAAGACCTCCGGCCCAGATGTTCATTGTCCACCGTGTCACTGGACCACTCCACTTTCTTCTCCGTCTTCCTTTTCCTGAGCTTGATGGTCAGGCTTCTGCCCTCCTGAAAGCACACGAAGTGAATGAAGAATATCAGTGACATTATTAAAGGGGTCATATGATGCGATTTCAAGTTTTCCGTTCTCTTTGGAGTGTTACAAGCTGATTGTGCATAGATAAGATCCCTGAAGTTGCAAAGACTAAAGTCTCAAAACCAAAGAGATATTCTTTATCAAAGTTAAGACTCTGCCACGCCCCGCTAAAACGGCTCGTTCTAACACGCCCCCACATATCTACCTCACCATGTGCGAATATTAGCATAATGCCGCCCAAATGTACACGCAAAGAAAGAAGGCGTGGTTTCAGTAACCGCAGTTAGTGTTGAAGCAGCATGTCAGGGAGACGCTGTGTGTTTCTATATTTTTACAGCTGTGAGTAACCATTGATAGTTATGATGATGACAACATTTATCACATCAACCATTGTTCTGGCTTTGTGTTACTACTGCAAAACCACAACACATTAACATGGGATCTTACTACGTACTGCAACAAAATCTGCTAGACATACAGCACAGCAATACCATGCACTCTTTAAAGTACTGTAAAATGCCATGCATGATGGTCTATGAATAAGGTAAACATTTAATATTATGGTATAACCATTTTGTAACAATATTTTATTGGCCAAACATTATGAAGACAATAGTGTTCACAGTAATTGGGATTTTTTTATTACAAAAAACAAAACAAAAACAAAAGCAACTTTAAATAAAATAAAATGTAGGGATGCACGATATATCGGCCACCATATCGGTATCGGCCCATATCGGCTCATTTTTTCTGTTATCGGTATCGGCCTGATAAGAAAATTTGGCCGATATCTTAAAGCCGATAAATAATGCATTATTTCCTTCAGAGACACTTCAGATGCGCGCTGTTCGTTTGCAGCCTTTTGTGCAATTGTACATTGTAATATTGTGTTTATTTGATGTATATCTGATTTATCTCATATAGAATGCGTTTGGTTAACATAATAAATATACACAGCACACACATTATGTAAACAAAAACATTTATTTTGGATGCGATTAATCGCGATTAATCGTTTGACAGCACGAATATATATATATATATATATATATAAATAACAGTGGGTTAACATACTGTTATAGATTTTAGTAACAATTTTATTAAGCTATTTATATATTTTTAATTTCCATTTTGGTGTCCTTTCAAGATTTAGTAGTTTTGTTGGTTTTGCCATTTTTTATTTATTTATTTAAACGCCTGCACAGTTTTATTTTTAATTATTAATTTATGTTTTCGTTTTTAGTACATCAAGTTCAACGAAAATGTACGTTTAAACGAAAATGAGAAATGTTGCCTTGGCAACCAGCTGAAACAAGTTTGATCGTTTTAGTTAACGTTTATTTTATTTTAAGTAACGAAGATGTTTATTTTCAACGGTTGTAAGTTAGTTTTAGTTAACTGTAACAGCCCTAGTCCTGCTCTTGCTGTAGGTGTTGAAGAAGTGCCCGTGTTTAAGTGCTGTAAAAAGCGTTCACTCTTTTCTATCGTTTTGATTGAGTTTTTACGGCAGTAACAATGATCATAACACACTGTCAACCCAGTAGAGAACACTCCCAGCTGAACATGTCGCTCACCAGACAGGCCTTGCGCTGCTATCTACTCAGTCTAGTGACACAGCACGCTCGGTTAATCACCAGAGCCGCGTCGGGCTAGCTGTGGCTCGTGATGGTGTCTACAGTAAGTAGGGCAGAGTGAGTACCTGCTGCGGTGGAGGCGGCGTGCCCGTCTGAACGGTCTCCGTTATCGTCTCACTCGATGTAACGTTACCTTGTACCTCCGCCATAGCGCTGCTCAAACCCCAATAAACCTTCCAGCGGCGCTCGGTCGCCTTCAGTCGTTTAAAGGATACTAAATCACGACGGCTGCAGCTCTCGGTTGGCGCGTCGGGACGTCGAGCTGGACGCTATATGAATCTGAGATGAATTTGCGCCAGTCGAATCACTCCTCGGAAGGACGCTTTTGCGGACGGACCGGTTCCCGAAGTTGACTGTGTTTCAAAAACTAGTGAGCTGACTCCCTAGACAGGATTTTGAGACAATATAGTAGTGTTTGGAGTGAGCTCAGCTGAATTGTATATCTAAATATGCCGTTGACTCGAAAAACGCCCAAAAAATATAACGATCTCGGAAAGCGCAACGCACCCTTGATGCTCACTATGCTGTCTATAGAGGCAGCTCGCTAGCTCTTGAGACGCAGCCGCTGAGTGCTCCTTTAAAAACGTTCCGATGGGAAACAGCGGACGCTACGAGAACTTGCACAACGTGAAGGAAGCATGAGGACTGTTTGCAGCTTTTTGATTTGACACTCATCTATGTTTTTGATTGAAGCATTTGAAGTCGTATGGAATTTTAGACCTAAAAATATTAGTGGGGAAAAATCACTGCCGTATGTCTGCTCCCTGTGACCGCACACACTGAAGGTACATTCCTTTTATGGGTCACTTAATATGCAGCATTTTTTCCCCCCTGAATACTGTTAAATATGCATTTCATTAAGTTTCAGAACGCATTTATTCACAATATTTTCAAAAACACGAACCTTCATCGACTGCTTTTAAGCATTGCCAAACACATTTGACTGTATTTGCACGATTGTTTCTTATTTTATGTACTATTTTGTTATACTATTGTTCTTAATGATTGCCATATTCATGTTCTATTGCATTCACATGGTACTCCAAGCAGTGTTATTTTAGTATTATTTATATGTTATAATGGTAATTAGTAGGGATACACGATATATCTGCCACCATATCGGTATCGGCCGATAAATGCTAATTTTTTCTGTTATCGGTATCGGCCGATAAATGCTAATTTTTTCTGTTATCGGTATCGGCCGATAAATGCTAATTTTTTCTGTTATCGGTATCGGCCGATAAATGCTAATTTTTTCTGTTATCGGTATCGGCCGATAAATGCTAATTTTTTCTGTTATCGGTATCGGCCGATAATGGTTTTTAATGATGAGACCTTTTTTGTAATCAGGCTCTCAAAAAGTATATAAAAATTTGGATATAGATTTATCGGCCAGCATATCGGTTATCGGCTTTCAAAAATAAAGAATAATCGGTTATCGGTATCGGCCAAAATTTTCATATCGGTGCATCCCTAGTAATTAGTAATATTTAGATTTTTAAATCATTTTTGTATTAATAGTTTAAATTACATTTTAGTTAAAGTTAAGTTTAATCATTTCATTATGTGCTTCTGTTATTTTCATTTATGTATTTTTATTTCTATATAACGTTTTAGGTTTTATAATTGTAAGTATTTCAACTTAAACTTATTTCAGTTATTTGCTAGGGCAACATTTTAAAGTTTTTGTTTTTTTTAAGTTTGTCTTTCTTTTATTTATTTACAATTTTTAAGTATTTCTATCTATCCTTTTATTTAAGTGTAAGGTTCATAATAGTTTTAGTTTCAGTTAACAATAACAGCACTTACTCCAAGTTAAACAAAAAATACCTTGGTACCTACCATGAAAAAAAAAAGTAATGAAAAAATGTATTACTAAAATTTTCAAATGTGATGCACAAATTAAATAATAAAAAAAAGGTTGTATTACATTTTGTTTAACAGAACAACAATTGTTTGTCTTTTCACATTAGTTTCAGTCTGAAAGGCTCCAGATTTCAGGACATGCGGATGGCTGTGCAGAATCTGGAGCGGAGGTCTTCAGAAGGCCTGGAGCACATGGGGATGCAGACTCTGCTCTCAAAGCTCATCTAGCACACAGCCTTCACATCATCCCAGGACACAAGCGGAGAAAGCCAAACGCAGACAAGCACGGGAGAAGGCCATACTCAGCAGCGTAGGTTATGCAGACTGAACATATCAAAATGGGTACCTAATGTTTCCTTTGGTTTAAACCCATAAAAGTCTTATCATGTCTTTAACCCTTGCAGGATGTTAATGATCCTGGACTTATCTGGTCAGATAAAGAGAAAATAGCATACACTGCTGCACTCGTACCTGTAGAGAAGAAAGGTGACAATGTTTTTCCTCTCCCTGTGTCTTGTGTTTCTGTCCATTGATGCGCTGGCATCTGACTAATGCAGTTATTATAGATGTCTATTGCTATCGTCCCATGTCTTCCAAATGTCCTCTCTTTTAGACACCACTCTGCCCTTCCCACAATCCTACAGCCCGGAATATGTGGAGTTTGGCTGGTATCAGTGGTGGGAGAAACAGGGATTCTTCAGTCCTGAGCGGCATGTATGGGAGCAGTTACAGCTTAATATAAGCTGTCTCTACCCTAAAGCAAATAAAGAAATCAATTAATATATAAATACACCGTTGTTCAAAAGTTTGGGGTCGGTAAGATTTAAAAAAAAGAAATGAATACTTTTATTAAGCAAGGATGCATTCAATTGGTCTAAAGTGAAAGTAAAGACATTTATAATGTTACAAAAGATTTCTATTTGAAATAAATGCTGTTCTTTTGAACTTTCTATTCATCGAAGCATCCTGAAAAATTACATATCATAGTTTCCACAAGCATATTAAGCAGCACAACTGTTTTCAACACAAGAAACAAGAATTATTTTTTTTTTTTTTAACAAGAATTGTTTCTTGAGCAGCTAATCAGCATATTATTATGATTTCTGAAGGATCATGTGACACTGAAGACTGGAGTAATGACGCTGAAAATTCAGCTTTGCATCACAGGAATAAATTACATTTTAAAATACAGTGGCATGCGAAAGTTTGGGAACCCCTTGCAGAATCTGTGAAAATGTGAATAATTTTAACAAAATAAGAGAGATCATGCAAATGATCATGTTCTTTTTTATTTAGCACTGTTCTGAGTAAGATATTTTTCATAGAAGATGTTTACATTTAATTCACAAGACAAAAAAAAATAGCTGAAATTATTAAAATAACCCCATTCAAAAGTTTGGGAACCCTTGGTTCTTAATACTGTGTGTGGTTACCTGGATGATCTACCACTGTTTTTTGTTTTGTGATGGTT